AATTGTAAGTTAATAAAAGAACAGAATCCTCATGCAGAATTTCCGGTAAGTACTGACGAAATCGGAATGGATCAACTTATAAAAATATCCAACTTACGAATTGCCTATTCCGGAAATCGATTGATTTATATTCTGCATATTCCATTATTGATTCCTGGAATATATAAAATGTATAGAGCCGTACCATTACCTGCTAAACAAGCATTTGACGAAACAAAATTCGCAATAATTAAATCTGACGCAGAACATATTGGAATAAGCGAGGACACCGATAGCTTCTACGAGTTCCGAGAAGGGGAACTGCGAGAATGTATATCGTCCAGCACCGTATTTATCTGCCCAGCTACATTTCCTTTGAAAAAGATACGGCAAGCGACAAGTTGTAATATTCAACTCTTACTAAATAAGAATATAGAAATGGAATATTGCAACATAGTATTACAAAACCTACGAGAAACATATTGGAAAGCTTTAACTACGCCCGGAAATTGGATATATACTGCAAGAAAACGAGAAATAATTCGTATAGAATGCCAACAAAGCAACCAGGAAGAAATAAGTAATTCTGGCATTATTTCCATACGCCAAGGATGTAAGATTAAAGCAGGGACTACTACGATGAGCCATCCATCCGTTCATTCTATAGAATTTGTACAGCATTATACTCCAATGAACAATCTAAGCATTTTACAATTGTACGAGCCTATCCGCGAAAAATATCAAATCGACCTGGCAGAAGCGACGAGCGAATTATGGACGATGAATAATAGCCACGTATCAACGACTTTTGATGACATCATTGAAAAGGCTCGCCAGATCAAGGATAGACGGATGCAAGAACAAAGACTTATCATCTACAGTGCAGTAGGATGGGGCATGAGTGTTCTCGGAATACTTGTGGTCATCGTCTGGATGATAAGCAGGACTTCTTGGATCAGCAGTACTGCGAATTTACTTTATGCACGATGCAACCGTAACAAAGGAACCAAGGGACCTACCCCTTGCTCCTCAGTAGAGAATAAAAGCCGAAGTACCGAGCCCGAATCCGAACAGTCTGACTTAAGAACGGCAACGATCCAGTATAATCTACAAGAAGAAGCACAGGAAGCAGAGGCACACTGACGACTTGACGTACAGCAATAATTCGTAAGTGACCAAACCACATGACTTCGTACAAAAAATTTAGTCTTTGGTTTGTGCTCACTTCACAGGATGAGAAGGAGCAGCTATTCTACCAATCACTATAAACGTTGGCACAGAATATTGGGACGACTCCGCCGGATTATTCTAACCATGCCGGGAATTGACGAAGATGTGCC